AACGCCGACTCCCCTCTGACTGGGTGCACGCCCTCTAACACTCATAGGATCCGACCATAGCATTTCCGTCATCCTGAAAACGTCATGTTATCGAGGTCGGTGAGCTAATTCCTACAGTCCACTATCCGGGGGTTCCTGATCACGGTCGATCGCACCTACAAAGGGTTTTCCGTATATGGCATACTAAGTAAATTACGTATGTCATTGAGGGTGACGCCATCTTTGCTGAAAAGACCTCCATGCGTGACAAATACAGTATCGTTGATGACATGTGCCAGAGGCAAAAGACAGAACGCTTCGCAGAATAGATTGTATAGTGTTTCGTCGTACTTGGCTTCAACCTCGCCCTGAATAACAATCATTAACATTGATTTAACACCAAGTGCGCACCTTGAAGCCATAGAGTTGATTCATATTCCTGGACTCGTGATTCCCTCGAGCCAAGAACAGAGACTCTGGATATCTGTGCGAGAGGAATTAAACCATAATCCACATGGCTTTACTTACGCCAATTTATAAGACAACAACAGCAGAATGCATTCCAGAGAGAAGCTCCCCCGATCCACAAAGTCGCCGTTGAAAAGATAAGGGTTTTCCAGGCTTGGAGTGCCATTGAGCTTGAAGATATTTAATAGGTCGTAGAACTGCCCATGAATCTACACACACAGTATGAGAATCTCTCATACAGACTCTGTCACTATATTCCGATGTAATTCCGCGTGCACCAAGAGTAATGAGAATTACTCATCGCCAGTAAAGGGTAGAGATCGGTTCTTTCGATGAGCGACTCGAAAACAGCAAAGTGATCGGTCACGCTGTTATTACATCCCCGCAAACAGTGAAGTGTTTACCAACAGGAACGTCAATGTTGCACAGCGTTGGTTGTTTCCTAAAGTACGCGATAGCAGCAAGCACTATCTCATACGCAAACTTCTTGGCCAAGGTCTGAGCAAGTAACCAACGATTGACCCCCTTCATATACTGCCGAGGCTACAGGTCATGAGAACTGACCCGATTCAACGTAACAATGCGATCTCGCGATTACCTTTTCATCCTTGAGAAACTCCGTGAGAGCATCGATGAATATCTGATCAACCTTCCCATCCTCCATCCGAGGCCCCTCGTACGATACCGGGACCTGCCGGGAAACTCTTTGGGTGAGACTTCAAAGTTCCGAGAGGTACGTCAATGGCATCCACATTGGCCGTCTCACTAGCACGGACAGTATGCTCAGTAGCGATCGCTTTGGCAAACTTTGCTGCCTGGATTTGTTTCTTGCAAGCCTTATATCTGTACTGGACACTCCACAAAGACATTCTTCCATATATTCTACTTAGCACGGGCGTCCAGATCCTTTGGGCTCAAGCGAACGACTCGCTCGAAATCTACAAATGATAAATAGTCTTATCGTTGTAGGTCGTCACCAACATTCGCTTCGCTTCCAACGGACTCCCCAGCCCTGTACCTTTGGAAGCTTCTGCATACTTGAACAGCTCCATCCGTGCGCACCCCCTCCGATAGTAAGCCTTACCATACGACGGCTTGAGACTAATGGCCTAACATGCCAGCTATGAACAACAACACGACGACGACGAAGATGGCGGTTGTCAAAGAGCCAACCTCATGCGACTACTACTCTGGTAGCATCCTCGATAGCTGATCCTAGATTTTCCAACTTGATATTGCACAGTGCACGGT